AGCTGACCATGAACTGAAGCCTCTGAAACCTTTAGCTTTAATAAATCTTTCGTCCTTTAAGGTTTCTCAGATATTTTGGTCATAATGATAGAATGCTAGTGGATGGCTTTAATAATTTGCTATATCAGCTTGTAGCTCATAAAATTTTTGATTCTTGCTATATTTTAATATCTCTGTGTGATCAGGTTCAAGTGAAACTTTTATTGGGCATGAGTATATAAAAATATAATATGCAGTGAATTTTTTTTTTTTTCTTTTTGAGACAGGGTCTTGCTATGTAGTTCAGGCAGGCCTTGAGCTCACTTCCTAGCCCACGTTGGTCTTGAACTTGCAACAACTCTCCTGCCTCAGCCTCTCAAGTACTAGAATTACAGGCATGCACCACCATGACTGGCATTCAGTGAATTTTTAAATAAATGAAAGAATAACACAACAAGTTCTAGATATTTATTTCCTTAATTTTTATATATCAATGTTGAGTGTTAATCATAGCTTTATAATTAAGTTACATTACAAAATACACTTTAGTCTGGAAGAGTTTTACATAAAGTAGGACCATTAAATGTGATGGAATTTTCAATTTTACTTTTTGTGCTAAGCATAAGTTCTTGAAAGAAAAACACATATTTAAAAATCTATAGTGACTCTTTTTCCTACTAGTTATATGTGACCATAATTGGAAAAAGTAAAATAAAGACATTTAAAAATTATTTATAATCTCACAGTTTATTCATAAATGCGGGAGAACACATTTGTTTAATTTCATAAAATAAAGCTTCACATTTCAAAATTTTTCCGTGCTGTGAAATTTGAGGCTTGTACAAGGCTGCCATTTAGTGGCCAAAATTAAGAATAGCAAGTGAAAGCCTAAGTATGCTCATTAAAGAATGAAAACAAGTTTAAAAATCAAAAAAATTGTATAAATTTGTTAGACATAACTTGTAATATTAATTTTCAAGAATTTGGATTATTAAAACATGATTACAACAACATCAGTTTAATAACTAAAACCTTGCATCTGAATTTAAATCCACCATGCATCTCTGATTTCTTTAGAATTGCTTAGACTTGCTATGTGTCATCATTTTGCACAGTGTTTTATTTACACAAAGTTTAGGGTTTATTTTTCATACAGTGTTTGTTTATATGAGGCTGTGGCTTAGTTGGCTTAGTTGTTCTTTAAAAACAAATAAAAATACGTATTCAATTGTTCAAATGTTACCAGAAACACCAAAACATTATTCAATTTTTTAAATTTTAAAATGAAAAAAGAAAAAATGATGATATAGAATTTCAAAATAAAATAATAGGAGATTAACAATGGTTACTATATTGCATATTATCTTCAAAGTAGTTGCTCAGATTACAAAATATAGTCATGAGAAAATGATCAAACAATGAAAGCACAAGCTGTTCTTTTTGATGTGCTAACAGAGATTAGTCACATAATTATCTATTTCCTTTTGAGCTGTTCCTTCCCCCTTTCACTTCTATAATATCTACTGCACATTTTGGGTCTTATTTACTCTTTCAGTTTTTTACACTAGAGAGACAACATGATGTTTACACATGCAAAACTGACTTATTTCACTTATGAATATGATCTCTAGTTGCATCCACTTACCTATAAAAGCCTTGAGTTTGTATTTTTAACAGCTGGGTAGTACTCCATTGCATAAAAATACCACATCTTTATTTTAGCCATTCTGTGACTGATGAGCATTTGGGTCATTTCCAAGATTTAGGTATTATAAATTATATTGCTATAAATATGGGTACACATATATTGCTGTGGCACGATGTTTTCAGTTCTTCTGGGAAAATACCCAGAGCTGGATCAAATGGGACCTAGTTATTGAGGAATCTCCACACTAATTTCCACAGTGGTTGCACCAGTCTGCATTCTCACCAACAATGGAGAAGAGTTCCTTTTTCCCCCACAGTCCCTTCAGTATTTGTTACTGGTTGATTTCTTAGCCATTCTTTCTGGAATGAGATGAAATCTCAGTGTTGTTTTAATTTGCCTTGGTCTAATGACCAGTGATGCGGACCTTTTTTTTTTTTTTTTTTTTTTTTTTTGTCATTTTCTTTTTCTTTTTTATCGGTACCTGGGATCAAACTCATGACTTCCTACATGCAAGGCAGGCGCTTATGCCGCTGAGCTAAATCCCAGCCCCTGGAACATTTTTTCATATATTTATTTGTCATTTGTATTTTTTTTTATCTGAGAAGTATGTATTCATCTCAGATGCCCATATTTTGATTGGGTCTTTGCATGTGAGGATCCTCATTTTCTTCAGTTCTTTATATGTTCTTGATATAAGTCCTTTGTCTGAGGGACAGTTGGCTAAACAAAACATTAAGAACTTCTCTGTCTCTCTGTCTGTCTCTATTTTCCTCTCTCTCTAACTCTGTCTCCCTCTGTCTTTCTCACTGTGTCTCTGTCTGTCTCCCTCTGATACTTTTTCCTCTTTTTTTTTATTTAGAGAAAAAAAGCAAAACAGAAAAAAGAGTAGGATAATTACTTCCAAGATAATAATGTGTAATCTAAGAAAACAATGTGTAACGATGGGTAATTGAACAATGAAAAAACACAGTCAGCTGTATTCCTGCCTTCATAGCTTCTGCCCTAACACATGATATCCCAATTATGTCTTCATTCACTAAGCTTTAGTTAGGAAGAGCCATTCCTATGTATTAACAAATCTAGAAACAATTGGTAGCTGTTACGATTATCTTGTCAAAGGTGGGTCAAACATTTCTGATCCTTTAATGTAAATTTTCTGTGGCCCATTTAGTAATGAAGTCTGCCTTTGAAATCTGCCTTTGAATAAGAAAGAAGACATTACAGAAAACTTTATTGGCCTTTTGTAGGTCCAAAAGATAAAATTACATTTAATAATTAACTTTAAAACAAATATTTATCTACTTTTTTCTTTAGAGAATGCAGCCCACTTCTCCACATATAAAGTGTTAGAATGTGGATTTGATATTTTTATTCAGGCACCTTGCATCTTTAGCCAGTGGATAGGTTTTCTATCACAGGTGGATCATGTTCTAAGAGAAGGAGCTAAAGCTTAGTTGGTGAATTCTGAGATGGGGCCGGCTCTTTATAGGTAACCCTGTAAACCTCTCAGGCCATCAGCTTCAAAGCAGGAAGCAAAAGAAGTGAGTACCACTAGCATCACGTTTTTAGGGTCAAACATTTCATTAGTCTTCCAAATATATCTTCATTTCCTCACTTCCTTGCACATCTCCCTTCTTCTGTTCTCCTTTTTTATTTCATGTCTCAATTGTTATTTACACAAGCTAGGAGAGTGTATTTATTATTTTGAAAAACATACATGGGCTGTAAATATTAATTTTCTGCTTAATTAAGGTGATTTATATCTCCAAATTTATTTACATAGACTTTATTGTAGCTACTAAATAACTACTTTATAAAGTATGCATATCACATTTCCAGACTGCACTTGTGGAATTATTCAATTTATAATATCACCAAAGTATGCAAATTCAAAAGTCTTGTTTAAAAAAAAAAAAAGATATGTTTAGCTCACTCCTTTCCTTTAAATGAATAAAAGCCAGGTGACATTTACTTTCATTGCCCAAAGAACCCACAATCTGAGAAGTGATTAAATTGTTAAAGCTCTTGGTACTAATTTCAAATGGCATGCTTATATTAAGCACATCAAAAGTTTAAATCATATAAGGGAAACAACATGTGGTATAACAGCAAAATAGGAAATTTATAGTTCTCTGTTGATTCTCTGATGTTTTTATACTGTAGTTTTGGTTCAGAAGCCAAAATGGCAGAACTCCTATAGGTTTCCAGTAATAGTTAGACCAGTTAAATTAAAAAGAACCTAGACTCGCAGTGAACAAACACCAAGGTACGAGTCATGAAGCATCCACAGCTGTTCCTGTGCAACTAATAATGCAAGAGGAAATGTCCCCATTCACTTAAAGTAAGGCTCACTCAACTTGACTGAAAGTAACTTTGGATTTTTTTCAATTTAAAGGTGAAGAAAAATAACAAGGAGTTGGATAATCTAAAAGCATGACAATGTTATAGTATGCTTACATTAATCCAGATTTTATATGGTTTTAAAATTCTTAAGTATCTTACAGTCAATTCAAGTTTTTCACCTATATTAATATCTGACTCCAAAGTTGAAGTTGTGCTTAATTAAGGTGTGTTCCAAATAGATCTCTGATTTTCTCTCTAGCAAAGATACCAAGAGGTCCAAGTGACCAAGCTCCATTTCAAAGGTACTATAACTGAGCAAGCTACCACTATACCACCAGAGATATTTCCACCCAAGTCATTGCTCCGGCATCATTTCCAGGCCTCTCCTCTATTTTATTTCTTTCTGCACATTGACTATATTTCAATGCTTACTTATAGTACCTCCAGTTTGTAAACTCTAATGCTTAAAATATTGCTATTTAATCCTTTTATATATCACATGGGCTAATTCTTCTTCCAATATACATATTGGATTGCTTATCCTCAAAGGATAAATTAAATGCTTTAATATATATTTTTAATTGTTATACTCAAAGAATAAATAACTTTAGGCAACTCTTATAATCAAGGATGAGTACTATGCTTTTATCTCTCTAATAGTAAAAGTGAAAGTACTAGACCCTATAGTATGTATGTAATGAGGTATAGTTAGCATGAACATATATAAACTTTTGTAGTTAGGGGGAAACTATACCTGATGTACCCAATGAATATTTATAAATGCACTTAACACCCAATGGATATTTACAAATTAATGTCTCTACCAAAATCTCCGGGGGCAGCCCTTTTTTAGGAGCTCAGAAATATCATCACTAATATAAGAGTTATGAAAATCTTGTTGACTTGTTTTCTTCTTTTTTTCACTTTCAAGAAAAAAATAAAAGCATATGAAATATGATTATAATAGAATTTTAGTGCAGGCACACAAGAATCATTGGGATGTTAAAAAGATGAAACTTAGAACACATACCATAAAATTCCTCTGGTAGTGAATATTCTCTTTGGTGAAGTCAATCACGTAACCATTGAAAGACCAAATAAACGTGAGGTCCAAGGCAGGATCAAAGGATGCAGCACACTGCATGGTAGCATTTTCTCCAACTGTGATATCGGCATTGATGGGCGCCAAGATGATCCGCGTGGGATCTATGTGTTTTTAAATAAAAGGACAATTCAACAAAATGTGAGGCATCATACTATACCAGCATACATTAAAGAATAAGAATCAACATACTCTGATTTTTCCATGCAAAGAAATGTGATGCTTTCACATCCAGCGTTCAAGAAAGAGAAACATTCATATAGGGATGGTTTATAGGAGATTAGCTCATGAGAAATTATCATTAGACTTTAAAATACATTAATAAAATATCCATGAGCTCTTACCTGTGATAACAAGGGTCCCAGTGCTGTTAGCTTTCCCTCTATTATTTTCTGCGAAGCATGTATAAATCCCTCCATCATTTCTTGTAATGTTATTGATTTCCAAGCTACCATCTTCCCAAATGAGTATTCTATTAAAATGAAACCATACATTATTGAAATAATTAATAGAATATTATTGTACTCATATTACAATCTGTTACTAGTAATACAAGTCTCTTTATAGGAAGATTTTTCTCCAGTGGAATCATTCTAGCCACAGTTTTTATATTCTTTCTCAGCACTGACAGTGTTTTGGAAATTCATATTCACTGTTTTCCTGAAGTTTCTCAGGGGTCCTTTACCCCTGTTTGTATTCTTGCTTCTTTGTCACGTGTCAGCCACACGTGTCAGCCACACAGATTGATATCAGTGACCTAAATTGTATTTTGTCACACTACTGCTCAGATGCCACTCCGTAGCTTGAAAACACTCCAGGGCTTTCTATCTTATAGTAAAAAGCCACAATCCTATGTACTATGAGACTTTTAGGTAATCTCACATCTTGTCCTGCAATCTTTTTTAATGATAATAAAGCATTTTAAAATGATTCTGGTTAGTGTTATGTGTGCTTTTGTGTGTGTGTTCACATGTACACAAACACACCACACCCAAAAAGAGTTTTATGATCTTTGAATTGTAAATTATAATCCTCTTCCCAAATTTTCTCCTTATTACATGTATCACTTGAAATTTTTGAGTTTGGTTTGTTAATGATGTCCTTCCATCGGATCATAATATTTTGATGTCAGTTTTATTGATATCTGTTTTAAAACAGATATTTTATATCTGTTTTATTGCTGGCAGTGTCCTCAGCACATAACATAAAATTCATTTCTTGGTGAATATTCTTTTTGCTGAGATCATCACGTAGCCATTGAATTAACAAATAAAGCTGAGATCCAAGGCTGACTTAAAGGACTCAGTGTACTGTATAGTTGCATTTTTCCCCAAGGGTTAGAGAAGCTTTTCATTCATTTATTTAAAAAGAGTATTTTATAGGCACTCACTCAGTGGGGATGACTTATTGATCACTGAAGAGACATTCAAAAAGATTTTTTAAAAAAGAATAAATGAATTACACAAAGTTTAATGAAGGAAGGGGTTTTCCACATCCCACTCCAACAAGAAGGGGTTTCAAATATTAGGGGACAGGTTCATACAAGCATGAAAGAATTTAACCCTTCCAGAAATGCAACCAGAAGATTTTAATTCCTACTTCAAAGTTAGGACAGACTCTTCCACGATTGCAGAGAAATTCAGAACTTCTAAATAAATATATTCCATGGCTGGGGATTTATCTCAGCAGTGTAAGTGCCTGCTTGGCAAGTGTGGGGTCGTGAGTTCAATTCCCAGTACCAAAAATAAGTAAATAAATAAAGGTATTCCAAAATCTGCCTTTGTAACAGCTACCATAGAGATTTGCTTAGGCAATTTTTCTTTGAGTAGAAGGTAAATCTTTTATACTTTCATTCCTCCAACCAGTCTGTTCCCTTGGAATTGTCAGTGGAATTTTACTTTCATTAAATGCATTGTTTTCAAAACTTGACATATCTTTGAAGCTTTGCATAAAACATACAAATTTATGCTCCATTTTAAGGGCAGTGTCTGAAAAAAGAAAAATAGTATTTATCTACATTACTAATAAAAAATCTCTGTATAAGAAAATATCAAAACTTCTACTAATATCTTCTAGAATTTGATTTTCTTTAGTATCTAGTGCCAATTTAATTCATTTCAGAGTAATCCTTGTTCCTGAAGAAATATAACATCAAAATAAATAACTCAGTTAGAAATCAGCTCCAAGAAGTGAATTTCTCCATTCACAAGGGAATGTGGTTAATCCACTGGCCCAGACTCTGCATCCTCCACCCCTGTGTTTATCTCAGGCCACATCTATATAAACTGAAGTCAACCAAGGACTGAACAGGGGGCAGTTTTCTAAAAGGCGGTACACTCCACACTCCTACCATAGGCATGTTAGGCTGAAGTATTTTGCAGTGGCCTTATAGTATCCTCTTACAACAGCACTGCATCCAAGCTCCTCTGACTCAATCTTTTTTCCCTCCTTTCCTCTCGCCTTATGGGATCAAATCTGCATCTCAGTCTGGTGGCTCTGCCGGCTTGCACCCACTTCCTCTCTATTTCCCTTCCAAGAATTCCCATTAGCAAATCTCCTACATGGTTATTCCTGCCCTAGTATCTCTTTCTTGGAGAAAATATATTAATATAGTAACAATATTAGTGTGCATCCTTTTCCTCACTGAACCCTCCTGTATAAGACTTTGTCATTGGTCTTCACCTTCTCCCATTTAATTAACTTGCAAGCAAAGCAATGGAAATTATGACCGCGTTTCAGTGAAAAACAACGATTTGTTCTAAAATTCACACTAATATTTTAGTGTATGATTGTTAGCTCATAATTGATCTTTGCCATCTTTCTAACAGTTTAAGCTAATTATAGACCATGTGTACAAGAATGATTCACGACTGTAACTAAGCTGAATATTTCTATGCCCTAATGATTTAGGCACTGTAATGCCAAGAATGATGTACTATGCAAAGCTTGTGGTGATGTTGTTGTACACAGACCTGCACTGTCAGCTGTATACAAGTGAAGCAAGGGGGCTGGGGATTTAGCTCAGTGGCATAAGCACCTGCCTTGCAAGCAGGGTCATGAGTTCGGTCCCTGGTACCATTAAAAAGTTAAAAAGTTAAAAAATAAAATAAAATAAAAAATAAAAGTGAAGCACATGAAGTTAGGTACAATGCATAATACTTGATTATGATTATGTTACTGGTTAATGTGTTATATACTCTATATTAATACATTAAAGAGTATACTCCTTGTATTCATTATAACTACATTTACTTTAAAATGTTATGCTATGTTATGTAGGCAGCAGCCTCAAGCATCTCATGTTTAACATGTCTCTTGATTGTGTCATTTTTTATTGTGCTTTATTTAATCCTGTGCTGTTTGGTTATCCTAGCCATGGGAATAACAGTCTCAAGAGACCATAAGTGGATGATATAGACATGATAAAGATAAGTAGATAGATGGACACAGATGGCTGGACAGATGGGGGGAGAGAAAATGAGGTAAGGAGAAGTAGGGGGAAGAGAGAAAGAGGAGAGGGAAGGAGAGAAACAGAGAGAGACACAGACAGACAGACAGATATCCTAAGGGTGCAGAAGGTTATTCCATCTGGGTTTGGCTAAGCACACTATGAGTTCACTCAATGATAAAATCATCTAACAATGCCCGTCTTAGAATGGATCCTCATTGTTATAAGAGCCAGAACTATATATACTTCTTAGTGTCATCGCATCTATACTCTCAGGCACTTTTCCTTTGACTTTTAAAATTGCTTTGTAGCAAGAATGTGCATAATACTGGACTGTTTTGTAATAATATTCTTTATTCTTAGATCAATGTGGACTAAATTCAGTCTCTTGAGTACATTTCTAGAAAATATGGTAAGGATAAGACAACATACTGAGAACAATCTGGTCTTTTAAAAACTAGTGACAGAATTGTCAAAATCACTCAAGGATAACTTCTACTTTGTTTATTGGTAAAACATACCAATTCTGGGGTATAACATAATCACAGAGATGTTCTCACATAATTGGCTCTAACAAAAGTCACTTCACAGATGATAGGAATCTATCAAATATATATTGACAACCAAATTAATTTTGTTAATTACAAACAAATTCTGTCAGAGAAAGTATACCATTTGAGTCAAACATAAAATTCTATAACTGAGAAACTCAAAACACAGCTTATGAAGACTCATGGCTCCTCCTCACTAAGTGCAAATACTGCATCAACTGTTCAATGGTCCACTAACCACACACAGAAATATTGTTATATGAAAATATTTTATGTATTTGTGTTAATCAGAGTAAGATTATTCATGCTTAAAAACTGTTATTCAGTTATTCTTTAAAAATTGTTTTCCAATGTATATTTTATATGCTTATAAATACATAATCTGATTAATATTTTTGTACATACTATTTTTAAAACAATAAAACATTTGTACAAAAATACTATGAAGTGGTACCTACATTATAATATTAATGGATTAAGGTAGTTATCAAAAACCTGTAGGCTCATGAAGGGACTAATTCTATTTGATTTCAACATTGTAAAAATATTATAGATAAGGCAAAATTATAAGATTTTAGGAGGTAGAACTTTCTATTTTTGAACACATAATGATATTTAAGAAAGACAAGTCTATGAAACGTGGTTGTGGGATGTATGGATTTGAGAGACCCATGAAATTGGTCTTTGTCAAGACAAAAGCAAGGTTCTGTCATTTAGGAGACAGAGCTAATGGTGGACCCAGTGGGAATGGCGTGCTGTCTAGGGTTTGTCAGGGAGTATCCAAAAATAGGACAAATTGGACAAGGTGACCCTTACTTTAATATTAATCCTTCTACTATCATTTTGTCTTAAAAAGTCTTAACTCAAAAGTAATAAGTTTCAGAGCTAACATGTTCAGGTAAAGCGCTGCTGCTCCGGCCCATCTCCCTAATCCAAATACCAAGTCCTTCTTGTGACTATCGTAATGAGAGAACTGTGTTGCCCTGTTCTCATTCCAGGTCCACATGACATAATTCAAGCTCCATTCTGCACATCATCAATGCATTTTTTTTCAGAAGGAATTTCAGTTTTTCCCAACTTCATAAACATCAAAATAAGGCTGATAGTACATCTCACTTTCTTGTATTACTGTGATGATTGTTTGCTACACTTTAGATGAACAGTCTTTAAAAGGCAGAAATTCCTTCCCTTCATATTTCTTTAAGCCACAATAGAGATCTTCATGATTTTTACATAAGCCTTAGTCCTTAGCATGGAAAGCTTTACATTTGCAACTTGGCTCCCTGTCTTATTCTTTTAAAGCTCCTCCATTTACCCTTAAAGACAAATCATACTGATTTTAGTTCTTGTAGTTACTTATACACCCTAGTGTCCCTGCCTTAGGACCTTTGAACATACAGCCTTCTCCTCCTGTCACACACCCTACTGATGCCCATTCCTTCTACCGCCATCTTGGCTTTCTCTTACTCATACTCTAGAATATAATACAGATATAATTTCTTTTAGGAAACAATCCAGTCTGGATTTTACAAAACTAATTATCAATGATCATATACTGCTTTTTGTCTTCTCCCAAAGCCACCAAAACACTGGCAGGTGTTCCACGTATCAGAAAGATGGCCAGGACATCTCTTCATTTAAAATGAGAAGATATGATACTTTGAAATCACCATTCTGTGTCCGTACAAAAAACATTTAATAGACTAACTGGATTCTTTTCCATTTTTATTAATACACTTGCAATGAACAATGATTCATTCTTTACACATCTCAAGGTTTTTTGTCCTCTTTTCTTTTTCTCCCTCTCTCTTCCTTCTGTCTCATGATCCTTTACCCATTTGCAAAAAGACTAGCTCCTTTATCTAGCTTTTGTTTTGCTCTTTATTTTTATTTTGGGTTTCTCATACAAAATAAATTATGTGATATTTAAGTTTGTGTGCCTGATTTATTTCACTTAAAATTATTGCCTCGAGGTGCATCTATTTCCCTACAAATGACTCAGATTCATCCTTCTTTGTGGCACAGTAATAGTCCATGTGACACAAATACCACATTCTTTATTCTTTCCTTTGTTGATGGATGTATCAGCTACTTCCAAGACTTGACTATTGTGAATTGTGCTGTTAAAAACTTTTGCACTCATGAATAATGTAATATGATATCATTAACTCTTTTGGGATGACACTTATAAGGGATATACCTGATTCAAATAGAATTTCTAGCTTTAGCATTTTGAGGCATCTCTATACTGATTTCCATAATGGAACTAATTGATATTCCCACCTACAAACTTGACAGCATTTGTTATGACTTGATATTTTAATGATAGCCATTCTTTCTGGAGTGAGATAGACTCTCAGTGTTGTTTTAATTTGCATATCTCTAATGATCAATGATGTTGAACATTTTTCACAAATTTATTGACCATTTGTATGTTCTGAGAAGTGTCTGCTGTATCAGTTGCCCAGTTTTTGATTGGCTTTTTACTTTGAGTAGTCTCATTTTTTTATATATATATTCTATATATTAGTCCTTTGTCCAAAGAATAGCTAGCTATAATTTTTCCTATCCTGTAGGCTATCTTTTCAGTCTGTTGGTTGTTTCAAACACTAAGCTAAAATCCAATTGATCAAACATCTAAAGGTTAAAACCGAAACAATCTGCTAGAAGATAAAATAAATAAAACTCTTGAAGACAGACAAAAGCAAAGACTTTACAAAGAGAAAAATGTACAAGAAATATCAAGAATCAACAAATGGAATCTTGTCAAATTAAAAATCTGCATAAGTGGAGAAAATTAAATTTAAAAATGAATGAACATTAATGATCTTGTAAAAAATAATATAAATTACAGAAATCTCATCACATTTTCCTTTTTTATCAGTTATGGTGGCCTTGAATAAATTACAAATAAAAACAAACAGAAAAAATACTCCTGAGCTTCAATTTTCTAAACCCCTTCTAAATTATATAATTCTGAAAATTAAATCCTGATTATAATAGATACTGATACGGACAAACAAGTATTTCTGTTTATCTTATAACTGCAAAGTGTAGAAGGAATAACACACATTAATAATATAAAAGCGAGTCTTCTAAAGAATCGACCTTCCTGAGTTGTTAATTACAACTGTATTTCTAGTTCCCACACTGACCTGCTACTGTTCACAAGCCACTCTGTTCCCTTACTCCATGAAAACTTTGGTTTGGGTGCAGCTTTCGGTTTACACTCAATTATAACCCTGCCTCCTTTAGCAGCCAGGATCTTTTTCTTCATAGGATTCATTTCAAATGTTGGAGCCAAAGCTGAAAGAAAATCAAATTATTATTTTTCTCCTTTTTGTTAACAGATCCAAATATTCTTTCTGCAATTCTTTATTCTATTTCTATTTGTAGTTAATAGAAAAATTATCCACCTCAGCGAGTATGATCACTTATGAACCATAGGTATTTCATATCTAACACTTTTCTTCTTTAATAACTTTTCATTATCATGAAATTAAAATAATTCTGGATAACTTGATTATAAACTTTAGATAAAACCAAATGTTGTATACCAAAAGGAACAACAAATTCAATTGATTTGATACAATTTAATAAAGAAAGTTGTGAGGAACTAGAGGAAGCTAAATAGCACAGTAAACATTCAATATAATCATAGTCGATCCTCCCTGCCACACTTAGAACTGTCCCTTGGTTACAAATGTGGGAACTCAAATCTACAAGGATTCGCCTATTTTTCCAAGGAGGTCACAGGCACTAATGAGTTGGATTTACATTTGCATTTAAGTCATTTTGTTTCTGAGGCATGCTCTTTCCATTAAACAATACAGTGCCTCCATTAGACATTTATTGAGCACCAATAGTGTGCAAACACCTGTCAACAGAAACGGTAATCTTCATCTTCAGAACCTATGTATAAACAGCCAGGAGAGTGATGGACTCAATCCATTAAGTAAGGAGCACAGAATCCAGCTGTAGTTTGTACTGATCTCAGTCGAATGGTAATTACAAAATCATGATGTGCTCTCATAGTAGTCACCCCACTGACAGCAGCCTCACACTCTACAAGGTCTACACACTGAACAAGCTGTTCCATCTTTTTTCCCATTGGAAAGCTGTAGGTGAACACCATCCACCCACTGATTTCCTTCCCCAAAGCTTGGGGTCTTGTCTAAGCTTTGCATATCTTTACTTGGGATTTTTGATTTCTAACTTGATGATTCTTAAGATTTACCTGCATTTTAAATTCATAGGAGTATCTTATAAAAATATCCACTCAGTAGTTTGGGGTGGACCTCAGGTTTTGCACCTCAGTAAGACCCAAGGTATTGCACCTGGTGCTGCCTTTTATAGCAAAGACATAGTCTATTTCATTGTCCCTTTATTCTGAATACTGATAACTGCCAATAAATTGTGTTGCACTTCTAATATAATTTCAGGTATTTTGTAAAGACACCATAAACATTTTAGATTACATATCATACATAAAATACAAATAAGTTTATATTTTTATACAAATTTATTTAGAAAAAATTTTTCTGCATCAGTTAATGCTTTAATGTGTTAATTGGTTTAATGTTTTAATCAGTTAATGTAATAATTTTTTCTGCTCCTTTCTATGATTTGATATTTATATGATATTTTGACTTCTAGCAACAGAATCTAAGGCATGTTCCTATATATTTTAGAGGTGAAAAGGAATAAGGGAACATTTTCCCTCATAGTGAAGAAGGTATGATGGATACCTTTTCTCTTTTTTTTTTTTCCCACTGTATCACACATCACCTATTAAAAGAATGGTATCTGGAATAAAGTAAATGCTCATTAATCATTTGGTGGAAGAATAAATGAATTAACTAGGCAGGTAGGGGAGGAAAGGACAGAGGGACAGAGAAAGACTGTGAAGCTTTCAAAATATACAAGTAAATATATCACCAAGAAATTTAGACTTTAGAGAAGAAGCATAGAGTGTGTTCCTCAACATTACAGCAAATGACAGGGAAAGTTGTAATTAAGAAAGACTTAATTCTTAACATTCTGTATGTCCTATTATTTTATTTTAATGTCATGTTGTAAAGAGTTGCCTTTCCGGGCAGCAAGAACAAAACTGGTCTCATTGTATCATCACTTTATATTTTCAGTAACCAGTTCTAGAAAATGAAGTATGACTACCTAGATTTATTCCTCATCCTTGATTAAACCTGTAATAACTCCTTCACATCATATGAAGATGTGGTGTGGTGAGACATTTGTGGAAGGAGTTACAATGGGAATAAGGGAGTAGGTTGACTGAGTATACCAGGGGCACGGAAAGCACCTGGTTAGCTCTGCTGTTCTTCAGAACAGAGAATCTTTGAGAAGATGTGGGCATAGGTGGATTTAGTCTCAGACATGGTACATTTGGGGTGCTGTGAGGGCACCTAGATAAACATTTCTACTAGGAAGAATTTACATTCAGTCTGGAGCTGAAGATAAGTTTCTAGGATACAAAGTATAGGATTAATGGTAATTAATGGGAGAAGAAATTAAATAAGAGTTTAAACAATAATGATGACCCAGGACTAGTAATATAAAATATGAGAAAGGATATGGGAAAAAATGAGTGAAATCAGAGAACTGGAACTCTGAGAAAGCAAGATTTCTAGGCAGGCAGAGAAGAGGGAGAGAAAAAGACCATGAAGAGGGTAGAGAAGTGGTGTGTAGAGTATGTAAGCTCAGTCGCTGAAGAGGAGAAGTGTGTATTCAGGAACAAAGCTTAACTAGATGAGAGCTGCTGGGATACATTCTCAGTCATGCTCACACATACACACATGCGAAGGGAGTGGTGTTGACATCACATATCAGGAAAATAAGAAGAAAACCTACTACTCTGGGAGGCAGAGGCAGGAGGATTTACAAGATTGAATGCATGCTGGTAAATATATCACTTTAGCACGATCCTGCTTCAAAAAAAAAAAAAAAAAGGCAGGGGTGTGACGCAGTGTAAAACCTCTACTTTCAGTCCATAATACTGGGGGAAATGTTAGAAGGGGTGAACAGAAGACAGGGATAGTGGGAAAGGAGGAAAGATGCTTTCTCTGTCGGTTAAGAACGTGGAATGGACAGACTTACTGAAAGGACAGCTTTAATGGGGTGGGGGATGAAAATTTTTTATATCAAAGGCTTTCAGTGTTTTATGAAGTAACAAGACACCTTGAAGGCAGAAGTCAAGGTGGGATAAGGAACTTGAGGACTGCTATTTATTCTAAATAGCAGCTGTGCGATGCAAGATGCAGGGGCTTGTCAATCCCCAAAGTGGTACCTGCAGTGTTATAGCATCAGTCTCTACAGATTTGTGATTTTGTAGGTGATACCAAGCTACTCTGACACAGGAGAGGACATGTCTTGGCAGGTATAAATTTTGTTTTGTGATTTCATGAATATTAAGGAAACTATTATATTCCATGTTATCTCAAAAAGCACTATAGAGTTCAGCTTCTTCGTTAAAAATGAAAGAATGCAATATAATGAAAAAAGCATTCACACATTCTTGGAATTTTAAACTAACCCAAGAAAATTTTAGAGTTTTTTTTTTTCCTACTGAAAAGTTCTTCAATGAAAGAAAAGATAATACCAATGCATTCAAAATCACATTTCAAAGGTTTTTACTTTTAGGGATTAAAGTAACATGAAATCAGATGTCATCTGTGAACCTATGAACACGCTGTCATCTTTTTTACGTAGTTTTCTTGATCACCGTTGGACAAAGTTAGAAATCATACTGACCCAAGATTTTTAACTCCGCATTTGCATAAATGGCTCCATATGTGTTCTCTGCTATGCATTGATACATCCCAGCATTCTCAAAGGTCACATCGTACAGTCTCAGTTCCCCTTTGTGATACTGAAAGCAATGAAAGTAAAACACACGGTTTTGATAAATTTTAACAGAAATGCTTTGACTTGACTTTGGGGTTGAAGGTCATTAATTGAGGTATGTTGTGCTTATTGGCCGACACCATTACCTAAAATGTGTAAAATAGGATTCTCGTGGACAGGGAAGAAAGCTCACTTACCATGCCCCATGGTTCTTGTTCTATTTATCTTACAAAGCTAAGAGTTCACCTTTTCCCCTCTTGAACCAGCTGGAGACTGCAATGGGGAGGTAGATGAGGATCCTGCTGCTGCTATGTGTCCCCAGGCCTAAAGGTTTGACTTAGATTGTCTCTCTTACCTCTGTTTCTGTGGGGTTTAGGGAAACAGTGGCAACAAATAAGGGCAATTTCAGGTCATAGAGATGGATAAGTAGGAACAGGCGGCAATGTGGAACAAAGGAGAAATAAGAGACAGAGATAAAGAGAAAGAAAAGGTAAAGATAAGATTACAGAAAATTGTTTAAACTGAAAGAAAACACTTCCTGTTCAGTTTCTTGCTTGTTTTTTTTTTTTTGTTTTTTTTTTGTTTTTTTTTTTTTGATGACAGTTTTATATTTCATGGCCCAACTACATTTACTCTACTTACTCTCCAACTATTTTTATCACAGGACCTCCCTGAAATGCTGCCTGAATTTGGACCCAGGGAGAGCAAAGTGCATGACCTTACGTACCGCATATCCATTTTTCAGCCATCTAATTGTAGGTATTGGCTTCCCTGTGGCCACGCAAGGCCAGTAGAGGTCACTGCCAATGTCCACCTCTGTGTCATTGATATGTTCTACCCACTCAGGAAATGCTAAAAAATAACACCAGAAATGTCAACTGTAAGTCTCACACCCATTATAGTTTCGAGTATAAATACTGTGCTTTAACTTTATTCTAGGGATGTATCAGATATTACATGTGTCATGAAACCAGGCTCCCAGCCAGTGGAATTGCACTGCAGAGGTCTGCATCCTAGGCAAATCACACATGATCTCAGAATGACGTCATGGTGATGCAATTAGTAACTGCTTTCCTATTTGGAATCTCTGTTTTGTTGGAAAACTCACTCACGTTAGATTGATTATTTTTTCTTCACTAGAAACCTTTAAATCTGTCCAAATGACACCTAGGGTTGTCAAGAATTATGTCTCAACTGTGATGTTGTCTTTTTATAATTTGCATAAAGATTTAGGTTTTATTTTTTTCTACTTACACAGGTATATATTATCTTGCTTTGATGAAGTTTTTATCTATTAATTGGTTTAATACCTTATTCTAAATGGCTTAGTTACTTAAATACCCTTTGCATATTAGAAATCACATAAAAACCATAGTCCAGTGAAATTTATAGAAAATTAAAATATCTACCTTGAACATAAATTCTTGCCTGGTGTTTGTCCTTTCCTCGAATGTTTTCAGCCTCACACTCATATAGACCTTCATCTTCTAGCTGGATATTGAAGATCTTGAGAACAGCTCCAGAGGTACTGATCTCAGCAGTGCTTGGCATTGGTTCTAGGACTTTCCGCCATCGGATGTCAGGAACAGGACTTTAAATGAAAGATAACAGAGCTAAAGATACACAGCAGTTAAATAACAACCACCTTATATTTATAGCTAGACATTTAGATCACATATTTCTTTTTTAATTAAAAATAAAACACAGAATGAAACAAAAAATAAATAGAAGAAAATAATAAAAGAAAACACAATCCTTTATCAATTTGTGAACATCATTTTTCATATAGATTAACATTCTCATTCTTACATGTCTGTAAAAATCAAAAAGATTCAGAATAGTCTAAACAATTTTGATAAAGGAACAAGATTAGAGCCCCCAACCCTCCCTAAATCCCATGATTTATCACAAAATTACACCAATCATGACAAAACGGTGCTGACATCAAGACAGACAAACAACCAAAGTACCAATATAAAGTCACAAAATAGAAACCCACATAACAGATTTCTGGCAAAGATGCAAAAGCAATTGAGTAGAGAAAGGATTGTACCCTCAGTAAATATCCACATGTAAAAAACCCAAGCCTCATAGGACATCAAAAATTTCTTAAAACATCCCAAAGTCAACTCAAAATGGCTCACAGTGGATAGATAAAGTGAAGGCAAGTGTGGCCTGAGTTGTTGCTTTGGCTAAAGTCATTCTCTCTGGGACAAAATATATGTTTTTTCTTATCATACTAATGAAATAATCCAATGAGTATGAATGCACCACATACTTATTTCACTAATAAGTATGTTTTCAAATCACATCCATTTACCTAAAAACATGTCTAGTTTATCATTATTTATGGCTGAGTAGTATTCCATTGTATAGAAATACCACATCTTTTATCCATTCCTCAGCCGATGGGCATTTAAGTTGTTTCCAAGGTCTGGCCATTATAAAGTGTGCTACTATAAACATGGATGCAATATATCATTGTGGTATGATGTCTTTAATTCTTTTAAGCAGACACCCAGAAGGAGAATATCTGGGTCAAATGGGACCCCCAATCCTCATTTTTTGAGGAATCTCCACACTGATTTCCACAGTGGCTGCGCCTGTCTCCATGCCCACCAACAATGGAGAAGGGCTCCTTTTTCCCCACAACCCCTAGATCACTTATTTCTCAGAAGGTGTGAACACTAATATGCTTCTGTGTATGTCAAGGAAAAGTACACTTACTTCCCAAGTGCAAAACACTCTAGAGTCACATTCTGGCCCATCAGTGCATATATGTCCTTAAATTGAACTACAATATCAGCCGGGTATGGTTTTGTTGTTCCTGATATTAAAAGAAATATAAATATTCATGAATTACTAAGCAAAATAATATTTTTGAAACTTAGTGATTTTTTAGGATCAGAACAACTTCCTTACAGAAGGCTTTTCCCAAAACGTGTTGGTTGTGTCACAATATAGAGATTTGCTTGCTTATACATAGTATGTGTAGATACAAATCTGATCAAGTATTTGCAATAAAATTGTCTCATTCTGATAACTTAAAATCACTTTCAGCCCACTAAAAATGTTCAAGGCATTAATAAGGAATGTCAGATATGTGTAAGGCATTTTGACCAATCCTATGCAAACTCAGAAAGATAGAAAAAAGGCAGAAAAGAAGCAGGAGGTATCCACAGAGATGAAGGCAAATGGGAAACAAGTTGGAAGAGAGAGGCATTTTATGTCTAAAATGTGTTATTCTGTCAGCCACATAAGAGAAGAAAGAGGTACGGAAACTTTAAGTACATTGTTTAGGATCGTGAATACACACTTGATACTGTAAAATGGTAAGACACAAATAAATCCACAGTGATATATATATATATATATATATATATATATATATATATATATGAAAAAGTAAAATAAATAGACTAAAAGAGTGACTGCCAAAGAATATAGGATGGCGAAGCTGTGAAAATCTTAGAGGAGACTGCAATTGAACTGAACCAGCGCTGGTTGAGAAGGAAAAAGCAAAGTTCTGGAATTTTTCAAGCAACTATAAAAGGTCTTCAGTCATATTACAATATATGTGGTTGAAGATAAGCTTGAATTTACAATTCAGAATCCCTGAAAACACGTTATTAAAAGTTTTGAGACTAATTTTCTCGCTGGGAAAAAAATCAATAGGATTTTCTTACTGGATAAAACCAAAATGATCTGATTTTTTTTAAGTGTTATGGATCTTATCTCTGGTTTAAGGAATAGACTTTTTTGATAGCTTTAAATGATGAAGCATGGAGAAGACCTGAAGAAGGTTGTATCATTGATTCAGGCAAGATGAATGAGAGCCAAAACTAAGATATAGTAACAAAAAAATCACAAAAGAAAGAACAGACACAAACTGTATTTCAGAGGCAGAATCACCAGGACTGCTCCTCAGATCTTCGTTCCTCCAGGTGCAGGACAAGGCCCGAAGGCCTCGGGCCACCTGGGACGCTCAGAGCTGGCAGATTCCCAGTCTCTGTTCTAGGACTGCTGAATCATGATGCCTGGATTTCACAGCTTTCTCAAAACTTCTTAGAGACTGCCGTGCTCATTTGGAACTACTGAATTATCTGTTCTGAATATCAGGGAAAGAGGGGAGTTGATAAAAGAAAGAAAGTCTGCGTTGTGCTCCAAAAAATAAAACGATATTGCCAAATGACTCAAGAACACCAGAAGAGTTTTCATGGGTAGGTAATAAAACACATCTATTAGCATGCCTGACAGCCTTGGAAAAGTCCAGGGTACCAGTGGAATTAAGTGAAAGAATCAAGGCGTAATTTAAAGTCATCTGCCTATGACTACAATTGAAAGTGTAAGTAGGTGAGAATATTCAGGAAACAACTGAAATAAAACATAAAAGGAAGAATATCTGGTAGAGAATGCTATATTGAATTTATCAGACAGGCCGATAGGAGAGGAGGAGTGCAGGAAATTACAGGAAAGAAAAGTTCATGAGAAGCAGAAGAGCGATGTCAAGGACCAACAGAGTTAATGACAGAAACGTGTTCTCTCCATTAAGTAAGCATGAAGATGTGATTACACAAGAAAAGAATACGCAGAGAGAATGAGGAAGAGGACATAGTGAAGCTCAGACAGGAATGGTAACAAGTGCTGTAGTGAAGTCTCTAACTGAATCAAATGGGATCTTAACGAGGTCAACTGGAGGAGTTAGTGTGAATGAAAGAATACTGCTCCCATTGAGACAGAAAATAAATAGAACTACCGAAATGCAAATGTATTTCTTGAGAAAAAGAAAGACGATAAGAAAATTTATGCAGTGTCTCCTTTTTCACTCTGTAGGAGAGTATCTAAGTCTAAGAAAAGTAAAAAGAGCCAGAAAGGCAGCAATATGTCCTGAGTACTAATTATGTGACTGTCTCGCAATAGAGAGAAATCTGGAGTCTCAGTGGCATGAGGGCGTTTTCCCTGTTGTTACACTGTAATCAGGAGTAAAGGTAGGAACCAAGCATAAATCTGTCAGCTCTGAAGTGATTACTTGAAATTACTGATATTTTATTTCACTTGAAATCATTGCCATTACTGTGAAGTAAGCACATATATTGTGATCTGATTCTCTTAATCAGCAGTGATTTTTACAAATGAAGTTATTTTACTTGGAACCAGGGAGAAGGGCAATCTAACCAGGGATCACAGAATAATAATCCTGTCGTTATTATTCAGAATAGAAAAGGCAATTGATTTACTTACTTGCATCATAAAAATAGTTTCTTTAAAAGATTGCAATAATCAAACTACCTTTCCCTCTCATTTCTGCAATCAGTCTTGCTTGTTTGGATCTAATTATTTGTTTTCTTTATGAATTTCAGAAGTAGGATTGGGCAGGAAACAAAAATCAGATGCCAGTGATTCTTACTGTAGCCAGAATATTGGCACCGGACTTATGAATCAGTTCGCCGTGTATTTCCCATACTAATGGCAACTAATTCAGACTCGAAACTCTCAACTCAAAGAATGGACCAAACTTTGCATCTCACTTTTAAGTGCACACAATTCATATTCTACCACCCAAGAACTTTGCATGTCTCACCGCAGGTATTCCTTCTCATTGCTGTAAGCATGAAACAAGCAGACAACTTTGTAAAAATAGTGTAACATGTAAAATGCTTACGTTCGGGAATCGGAATGAGTGGGATGAATTTGCTGAATACACTCTTTGTAATAGAAGGACTGGATACAAAGCAGGAATAATTGCCTTTGTCAGAAGCCTCAACATTTGCAATATAGAGATTTCCATTCGTCTGAGACACAAATCTTCGTTTATCCATTGTGATGAACACAGGAAATTCATTTAGAAGCCAGCGGTAGCTGAGATCATCTACAAGAAAATATTGTCTACTAAGTATTTAGCTCTTCAAAAACAAAGATTCTGCTTTCTAATCATGAGCCATCACATAATCTAGTAGAGGTTGTGGTAGAGAAAAAGTTAGAGAAAAACCAACGCCAACTTTGTGTAAATTTTCAAATAGCTACCGTATTTTTCATAAAATAAGTAACATACTGTTTATCTATCTCTATTAATCTATAGAGTATTAAAAGTCTACTTCCATTTTATTGATGAACTAAGTGAAATTCAAGTTAAACAACTGGTGTAGGAGTTTCATGATCATTAAATTAAATGTGTTTAGCATTTCAAGAATGCTAAGAAGGAGTAAGTCCTCAGGAGTAACTGTAGAAATATACAGATGAAACTATGGACAGTGTATCCATTTAGATACCAAAAGTTATTCGTCTCTTTAACTGTATCTTGATCATGTGAAAACTGCTACTAGAAAGAGTGTGATTAGAAATCTCTAGGTGAGGTTAAATGGTTTTCTATGTAAAATGGTACAAAGTCAGGGTTTCATAGCATTCAAGGCTCTTTTAAAGATGAAAATTAATATCATGACAAACTACCAAAGATAGAAAACAAAATTGCCAAGGTGAGAGTGAAAGATTGTGAAAAGTTAAAAGAAAAGTGCACTGTGTGAAACCTGAATAATTGAAGTTAATGATCCAGCCACTAGATTTATGTTAGCTCCATAGTAATCTCCTGTAATATAGAACATCAGAATGGTAAAGATGATTGTATTATTTGAGTTTTAAATTTGATTTTTTAAAGAATCAGAATATGTTCATTTGAAAAAAAATGGGAAATAAGATAGTGTTGAAATAAGAAAAAAAAAAAAAAAACCTGCCACATTCATCTTCCAAATCAGAATTACTAGCACATCTCTTCCTACGCATTTATATCTATGAATTAATAAATTATTGTAATTTATTACAACTGTGCTGCTTTCAGGTTACAAAACAATTTGGAGAGGAAGAAATTTAAGAACCGGTTTAAATTTTTGAAATTATGGCATCCTGGAATTTGGAAAGAAGTATCATATTTAGAAAAAAGAATTGTGTCTTTTGTCTAAACTAATATTTATAATAAGTTAGGAGCATAAGACTGAATCCAGTAGACCCATTTCTGAAATTTTTACTGTAAATTTATATTTTAGTGTAATAGTTGGGTGTGCATCACAGAACCTTTCCCTGTAGCATAAAGAAAGCGATAAATATGTTTATTTACTTGGTTTGATGAATGGGAAGGTATGTGGATGTGTGCAAAAGTGGCAAAATGGAATTTTTCCCCACCTCATGCTTCATGTAACTGGTTTACTTAGGCATCATAGTGGGCCCAATAAAGCATGTCACCCCAGGACTTATTAAAAATTATTATCTTTTGATTTTTCTGATAGAAATAGCCCAAATCAGTACAATGGCATGTGGAAAAACAGATTTGCAAGTTTGGGAGGAGGTCAAAAGTGAATCATTAGATTATTCATGCATGGATGATGATGATCCATTATGGCAGGACACATTTTTTCAAAATAGAAGAGTATTGTGGGTGTATAATAATGATGATGACTTTGATATTGGCCTTCTGTGACAATAAAATGGTGCAAAAATTGACTGATACAAACACAGGGAATTCAGAACTTCTTCATTCAGATGAAACAGAAAACAGCAATATGAGTATATATTTCACAGTAAAAATGTTGTGATATGGTCATGCAACCAAATGGAACAATCCAATGTTAGAAGTAGGTGTCAAAAGCATAGTGAGGATCTTGGTAAGGTCCAAAAGAATGAAAGGTACTGGAAAGAATGGCAGCACTGTCATTCAATGTTGCAAACTGCAACAGACAAAATGTTACAAAATGTGAAATACACAAAGGCTGAAATGCAAGTAAAATGTTCTGATACTCCAATAGCCATAATAAGAACTGTATTTATTATGACACCTCACTAGCTAAAATGAAAAGATCCCCTAGGTCTGCTGTATTTAGCAGGGAATTCTCATGGTGATCTCAAGAATGTAAAAGACTTAGTGAAAAGCGATGAGTCAAAGTAGAGCACAGAACTTTATGCCCTTGTAGATGCAAAGACTTATGCTTAGATATTTACCCTGGAACTCAGCCATCAGATCTGTATTTATATAGCAATAAGCCAAATGATATTGTGAACAGGCTTGTTAACTCTAGTCTCCCAAATTAACTTGAATACAACATCCAATAATTGATTTACCAGTTTCAACTGATGGCTACATATGCTAACAGAGCACAAGTTGACAAGCACAGAAACTGTAAGCAAGAACAAAGCAGAAATTCCAAATGAACTGTTGTAGTTTTTAAACAGAGAATTGTATAGTATGATCTTTGAATATCAGATTTATATTGGCCTCATATCTGGCAAAGAAAAACTAGTGGTGTCAGCATTGCACTGGGATGGAAATATTGATAAGGAAACCTTGACAAAACAGAAGCCTGAGATGGAAACTTTCTACAACAAAACCAAAGGTGGAGTAGATGTTGCTGAGTTATGCAGCAGCTATGGTGTCACTTATAGCACAAAGTATTGTCCAATAGTTCTGTTTTACTCTGAAAACTGTGATGTCACTTAAAACAAAGTTTTGTCCAATGGTGCTGTTTTACTCAACCCTAACATGTGTGGCATAGTGTGATAGTTTACAAAGAAAGTAACAAGTGCAAAATATCATAGAGAAATTTCCTTAGAGGATTGGAACTGGAGCCCATAAGATCATTCATATCAGAGGAAAAACAAAATGTTTCGGACCAGAGAACTACACAAAAGAATTGTGGGGCATACTGGTGAGCTGACAGGTGAATAGGCAGGCAAATCATCACAAAGACCTACTGTGACAACAGGAAAACAAAGTGTCAACTGTGCCCTACAAGAAAGTACAGGAAAACAAACCATACATACTATCAGTGTAAGCAATACTTGCGTATGGAACATGCAGTTGTCATGTGTGAAGCCTGCCTTGGGTGTGACGTTTGAAGCAAAGCTTATTTCATTCTGTGGTAGACTTTTGTTTGTGTTTATATTGTAGTTCACATAGGTTTTTATTTCTGAAGTTCTCTTTTAGATTTTGTAAACAAGTAAACAGTTGATGTGAAAATGTTGATGTTTATTCTAAGCATTCACTTCATACTTGATGTTTTATTTTATTGATATTTCATTTCCCGACTAAGTTTACATTATACAATATTATAGTAAGTTTCCAATAAGAAGAGAAGAGAGGTGACAAGATTGTCATAGGAAAGGAAACCTAACACATATGCTCTCAGCGAAAGGAGACATGTGCTTGTCTTCCCTATTTAAAAAATTATCAGTGCAATTGTCACGTATGAAGGCTGACTTGTAGGTGTGACAGTTGAAGCAAAGCTTATTTCTGTGTTAAAAGTCTGCTGGTATTTTCATTGCAATTCATATAGGAACTTATTTCTGATTTTATCATTTAGGTTTTGTAAGCAAGTACACAACTGATGTGAAAAAGTTGACATCTGTTCTAAATGCACAATACATATTAATTTAAATACTTTATTCATTGATAGATTATGTTCCTATTATACACTGTATAATATAAAATCCTCCTGACAAAACAGTAGGACCCACAAAGTGTCAAATATCTCCCACAAAAACATAACAAAAATGTAAAACACATGTGATGGCATCGTGAGCCATAGGTGTGCATGGAATGTGCTGTTGTCATGTGTGAGGACTGCTTTACGTGTGATAATTGAAGTAAAGATTATTTTTTAAATGCTATCTATATTTTCGTTGTAGTTCATAAAAGAATTTATTTATGTTGTTCTTTTTTAGACTTAGTACTCCAAAAACAGTCAATGTTGAAAACTTGGATGCTTTTTTATAAACACTAGATAAATATTAAAAATTCAATACTTTGTGATACTTTTCCTGTTAATTATTGTTTAATATAAGAAAACTCATAAAATTTAAATTAATAATTCATCAATATAAATATTCTAAAGACTGTGACAGTTTACTGACAAAATTAGTGCTATGCTCCAGACTAAAGAAGACTGTCTTTTCCTGATTCAGAAATAATTTTTCTTATTCTCAACTAAAATTAAAAATCAGTATTTTGTAAATGGTTTCTGGTAAGAACTAAAATAAAACATAGTTAAGGAAATATGTATATTTCCTTCCATAAAAGGGAATTTTATAATTAATATATTCTATAATATTTTAAATATGCTATCATGCATAAAATATATTCATGATTGTCTAAATACTCAATAATTATGTAAATTCAGAACCTGGATTTTAATTCTAGATGTGACTTCTGTTAGACTAGTCATTCTATCAATTTCTCTTAAATTTAAGACATGTTTTCTGTTCTCCACTCATAAAAGATGTGTGAAGAAAAATATGTTGTGATGCTTGAACTTTTAAAGATGAAAGCTAGTCAGAGAAGCTGTTGTGGTGATGTTCATATGGATGGATACAATTCTTTAACTGTAAGGAATATGGTCTGATTGACTGAATGTCCAGTATAGATTCTCTCATTTACTTCTTATATACAAACTCAGTATTTCTAGTGTGCCATTAAACCAGATAGATGTGATCTTTGCATTTGTGGAGTTTGTAACTATATATATATAGTTATATATATATATAGTTTTAGCCAACTGATAAGACCATTCACTTAAAATAATAACTGCTAGAGGAGGTTAGGACATATTCATACCACAACAAAGCTAGGAACACTGACAATTTTTTAAATAGGGGAAGCAAGTCCTTGCTAGTTAGAGTGACTCTCCAGAGCTGATAGTACAGCAACAGAGTCAGAACTGATACTCTCACTGTGCTTCCCCTGCCACCAAATCTGTACCATTGGTCCAGTGGTAACGACCCTGACTCTCTAACTTAAAATGAGGCAATTTTGGTAATTAAAAACTAACCTTTAATTCAGTTCTCTCAAGGGATTATCCTTGTGTTCCCTTCTCTGTATAGATAATAAATCAATCATTTTGAAAAAGCTATCATCTGTTTTTCTCCTACCACTGGGAACTGTATTAGATAATAAGTTGTTGTAAAATTAATTTTTCAAGAAGAGCAAGTACTAGCATATGCTTAAGAAATGTTTCTTCTATCAAGAGATACAAAAACTTGGGGCTGGGGATTTAGTTCAGCGGCATAAGCACCTGCCTTGCAAGCAGGCGGTCGTGAGTTTCGATCCCCAGTACTGATAAAAATGAAAAAGACAAAAAAAAAAAAAAAAAAAAAAAGAGATACAAAAACTTTATTCACATTGTTCCAAAGAGTCTGGACCATGCACATCACAGGGAAGTATGTTTAGCCAACTGCAGTGCATTTATTTAGTTCATTGTGTTCCTTTTGACCTACATCATTTATCTACCCTTATACATAATGCAGCTTTCTCCTAAAAATACAGTTGAAGTACTGTAGCACACCCTGAAAGAATAATTTAAAAACAAAGATTTTAGAACACTTTCATACCATTTTAAAAATTAGTTTTGACAGCATATAATGTAGCTATACTGATAAAATCATCATACCTCCTGATCACTGCTTTGATATGGCAAACTGTAAGTTAAACATGCTTTAGAAAATGTAATAATGTATATATATATATATAGGGAATTAATATATTTTATATCCTGTCTTGTCTATTTTTAAGTTGATATTTTAGATCTGCTGATAATATTCAATGTACCAGACAGTATTTTCTTAAGAGTACTCCTACTCCCTTTTCAATTTAAAATTCATACATGTGTCTATTATTAGTCACTTTATATTTCATCAGTTAGTATCCACCCTTCAAATGACTTTTCTCTATCTATCACCCAGTGTTCAAAGATCTATGAGGTGTATATGGTAAGTCAATTTTTGATGGTGATACTGATGGAAACTTAGTTGGGAACAAAACATCATGTTCTCATTTTCAAGAATCTAGGAGTTTAACAGTCTTATAGATTTATGGTTTTTTGCAGTACAAAAAAGTCTAAAGAAGTTTACCTATTCACAAAAGTTCACTGCTATGAGCAATCAATTTAATGAACAATTTCATTTACTCTTTCATTCTCTTATCCTCTCATTCCTCAAAAATGTATTTAGCACTTCTCTGTGGTACGTATTATGCAATCAGTAGTGTAGTAAATGCTCTGATAAAACTGAATAAACATTCGCACTGAAATGCACATCTGTGGTTGCTCATGATAAACAAGTACCATAGTTCAGATTCAGATTTCTCTTTTAAAAAACTGAGAGCACTCAAGTCTACAAGCAAATATAATGGATTATGATAGATGAGCTATTGTTTGATTGTTTGATCATTTTTCATGCCTAGATCATGTAACCTGAACAACCACTTCTAAGATAACAAATGCAATCTATTACTAGAGCTAATTTTTTATGTTTTTTGAAATCTTGTATTTCTATCCTCTTTTCTGTTTTGATTTTTAAAATAAATAAAAAATTTTAAAGATGATAGGTGAGCTACTTCCTTCTAGATCTTTTCCTTGTACTTAAATGACTCTTCATAACCATGAATCAAACATCTTTAGTATAATAAGATGAAGTATATGATAATGGGTCCAAAATGTTTAATATGCTTAGACATATATTATTTAATATTTATCCATTGAAATTATTATCCCATTTACTGTTTTCAAATGTTCTAATAAATTATTATAAGCTTTATGTATGAAAAACATGTAAGAGTCATTATCCTCAAATTTTAAATGAGAAAATTAAGATAAACATTGCTAAGTTTACTTGACATAGTAAAAACTAATTCCCAGATTACTGGGACATGATAAGTATAAATGGGTAGACATATAACATTCTTCATAGTTAAAATCCAGGGAAGGATTTCTTTGCACTCTCAACTCAGTGAAGTTCCCAAATACAAATCACAAAACCTTAATGTAACAGAAGTAAGAGGAAGATTTATGGCACAAGTACGACACACATCAGTTGAAGGTGGTATGTATAATGTTCACTGGTATCAGAAAGTTCATCTCATATCAAATCATATCGTATCATATCATGTCAAGTAAGAAGCTGGCACTCTTGGTTTAATGGACTTAAATTTCTACAAATCCTGCTTTGATCCATGTTACAGTTTGTGTCTGGATGGCTCCCCAAGCCTCATACACTCATGGAGGGAGCTGAGCCTAGCATTTGTGATTGGTTCATTGTCTAGCACTGGGATTAGTGGTGTGAGTGCTGCACCCACCCAGGGGCGAGTAGCTGGCATACAATGTCAGAGAGGGAAGGAGGCATACTTTGTCCTTTTCTACTCTATTAGCTCTTGTTGTTTGTGGTGGCCAGGAATGGCTGCAGTTTACCATGACATTCTGCCTTAGAGCCAGCTGAGTGTTGAGTGAAGCCAGTCATTTCTCTGAACTAGAAAAGTCCTCCATGCCATGGTCCCTGTAGCTTCCCACTGCATTTTCACTGTTGTCTACCTTACCCCCTCTTGCTTACACAGCCGCCTGGGCTTCTTGCTTACCTATAGCCATCGTGCAGGACTTGGCACTTGCCGCCTCTCCTGCCTGGCATGCTCTTCTCACAGACATTTGTACTCTTTCTCACTCATTTCCCCCAGGTAGTCATTTAAAGATCCTTTTTCTCAAAGTTCAACTAACCCTTTCACATTTATTCCCTGCCCTTCCCTGTTTTCTGTTTTCCTCCTGAGCATTATCTACCAATTCCTAACACACTCTGCCTTTCCATTATTAATCTTACTGCCTGTCTGTCAGTCTGTCAGTCTGTCTGTCAGTCAGTCAGTCTGTCTGTCTGTCCCAACAGAAGGTCCTAAGTCTGGTAGCTTTTTAAAAATTTTACTCTGATAAAGAATTTCTATGTCATAGACAGTGCCTGACACATAGAAAGTACACGTAAGAGACTGCTACGTCAAGGATAAAGGATGAAGCCCATCCTATCTCCCATGATGCCAGTGTAGCTACTGACTCTCTCTGGTCAATAACTTGTCTGTGGGAACATTATGAAGAAGGAGAGATTTCATTCACGGATTTAGCATTTCTTCAAAAGAACACTTTTTGCTTGGCAAGCTTAAGGTCATGAGTTCAATCCCCAATACCAAAAACAAACAAAAAGAACCTTTTCTCTCATTGAAAAGTTATTACATTTTAAAGTCCATATGCTCCTCCTATGTTTATCTTTCTCCTTCTACAGAGAAATTACCACTATTTTATTTATTAATAACCATAATTATTATAATATATATAATTTTTCAAGGACTATAATTTTTTGCAAAAATACAGATATATGTGGGTATGCATCACCCACATATATCAGAGTGATATGTTACACAAAATTATTTATAATGGACTACTATTTTATATTCTCTTTGAAGGTGTTTAAAGTCAAATTTATGATATAAATATTGGAACTGTAAGAGAAGAAGACCTTAGTTATTAATTGTGAAAAGTGTTATATTTTATTTCAAAGACATTTTTGATAAGTAGAATATGGGAAAAATTTTATGAAACATCTGTTAATTTAATTGCACATATATATGTGGATATATATTTGAATCTCATGATAGAAGACACTTAATTTTGTTTCTTTTCTACAGTTATTTTTGTTGATTGTCACCCCTACACAAATCAATAATTTACTGTGTCTCTGTTCCTTTCTAGAGTTTAGTTACAGTTTACAGTACACCGTAGAAGAAAAATTTAAGTTAAGCGACTATTATACATCATTCAATGGTGCTATCCTGTTCCAAAAAGTCTATCATAAAAATGTAATTTAATGAAATATAATCCAACACATATATAAATAATTTATAAACTGAAATGATACAATATCCTTGGAGTTAGGACCAAATGATTAATAAGTCTAACAGAAAAGCATACATAAGCTCTAGTGAGTACCATATTTCAGCTGCACAAATACAAACTTTTATTTAATTAATGATGCTCCATGAGTGTTTGGTAAATTAGCAATGTCTCATTACTATGGAAAAATGTTAACCGGCTCATCTCATTGCTCCTCGGAGAGAAACAGCTTACCTGGAAAGTGATAAGGAGGGTCACAGAGCAACACCATTCCTTTCCCTTCTTTCACTCTGACTTCAGGACGCTCCTCAGGGGGAAAAGGATCAAGATCTAATTACAGGGAAAAAATGGAAAAGTATTCATTCTCTGGGCAGTAAAAGAGTCTATCGTTAGTTTTTTTACCTTTCACTAACTCGCTTTTGAGATATGCACCTTGAGGTTGGTTTGGTGAACATGTGAAGTCCAACTCATTTGCACATTGTGATATTCTCACATACTCTTAAAGCGTCCTATCACAAGTTACAAATCCATGGGTGTGTCTCACAGCCTGCACAAAATTTCTGTAGAAACTTTTGTTTTACACTCCAGGAGAATCTCAGTGAAATATAATGGAATCAGAAAACACCAGAGATCTGACACAGACCAGGAATAAATAGGAAAACTTAGAAGAGTGGGCTCATGTGAAGGAAATTTCTCTTCCCATGGGAGGACTCGGGGAAGGAATACAAGTGAAAGGATGTTAGCTGGAGAATGTAAAAGGGAACAATCTTTTGCTCCTTCTCAAACTCTGAGTATGCCTAGTTCTAATTTCCTTTATTTTTATTTTATTTTATTTTTGGTGTCCATAGTACCTTTATTATTTCCATAGCTACTTGGATCTCCCTTGTTTGCTACAGTCTGGAGAATGCAGTAGATGTGACTGAATATCAGTTTAACATGCTGAGCACCAATACCTGGCTCAGGAATGATGCTCAAGGGAAGAGCTGGTTTACTTTCTTCTAGAAACTGATTTCCTCGGTCCCTTGTGAGTATTCAATATGTCAGCAGTCTCTTGCTCTCAGAGAGAGCACACAAAACCTAACCCTCTGGCCTGGCATAAGCCAAAGACCTTTACTCTTTTTTGTGTACTCAGAACTCACAATTTGCTTCATTTTTTTTTCTTTTCTTTTCTTTCTTTCTTTCATTCTTTTTTTTTTTTTTTTGTACTGGTAATTGAATTCAGAACCTTGTGCTTGCCAGGCAGGTGTTTTGCCACTGAGCTAAATCCCTATCCTTTTTTATCTTTACCTCATTTGAATCTTCACTCGTTTTACTAATATCTACTCTGTTTTAATGCTGCCTTTCTTCCAGTTCTTTATCTGTGTTCCACATCCAAATTTTAATAGCTAATTTTCACTACCCTCGATGTCTTGCTTACCTCTATAGATACATCCTTTTTAATCACTATCCTTTTTGGAGAGGCCCCTTTGCACCAACATTTCAAGTTCATTTGAGCACCACCCCTATCCTCAGTGGCTTACTTGACATTTCAACCTGGACAACTTCATACTGTCATAACTCCTCTATATGGTTCAACCATTTACATGCTTCTTTCTATCCCTGAAATTGGCTTTTCTTGTTCCCAACCCATTTTTAATAAGAACCGATTTTCCCCATTTAACAAGACTTTCCTTGAAAAATATACTTAGAGCCATCTTTCCTTCAGTATAAGACAAGCTGTGAATCCTTTCCTCAGTCAGTGGCCTTACTGACATTAATTTCGTCACATTAATTTAACCATACTATCCCTTCTGGCTCAGTTCTTATCTTGCCTGGTGATTATTATTACCATGTAAGATTTGTTAAAACACCATTTGTATCTTACAGTCCATATTGCAAAAGATTATAAATGCTGACATAAATATACATTGAAGATCATCTAGTCTACCTCATCTCTCAAAGCATAATTTCCTTTCAGAACCTACTTATTTTTAGCTTAGCATAATATTTCTCAATTTTGCTTTCATGATTGTCTCCTACAAGGTGAAAATTGTCATTTAAGTTAAATTTAAAATAATTAAATTAGTCAAAATATGATTTGGTTTATTCTAAGAGATATTAAATATTGTGAAATAAGACACTGTCAACATATGTAAGAGCATTGGAAAACAACAAACCATTGGATTGTAATATCTGGGATGGTTTCTTCCCCTAAAAACCAATTTTCATTCTTTTTGGATTGCTCTCACTGAGAGGATGTGGTTTAGCAGTTTTACAGATGCTAGCTTTCAGAGTCATTCAAGACCCCTCAAAACATGGTGAAAATTTATTTCATGACATAATCTCACACTATTTTAAATGCACTCAAACTATGCTGCATGACATCATGTTCTCCGGAGATTTTCTCTTTATGGCACCCTTAAGTTCCACTCATCTTGTAAGATCCACCCTGTCTATGGCACCTTCCTGCAACTATTTTTCCTGCTCCATTCTTCTTACTCTTAGCGTGGCACTCACTGCTATCTATCCTGGATACAACCGCAAAATCCCTGTATTTTAATTTACAACTTCCACACATGTATCTCGCTTGGCAACAGTATCAGGCTGTCACCTGTGTGAGGAAACATACTGTGCCTTTTTCTACAAACACACAGGAAACATTCAGTGCTTTGTTAGAAAAGTTAAGCAAGGGGGCCACTTTTTACTGGGAAAAGTAAACAGAGGTATTTTAATAGAAGAAACACACCAAAAGAGTGGATCACCAAAGAAATAACCTTTTAATTCATGTAGAATTTTATCAATAATTAAAAACCTTTTTTTTTAACTTCACATAAATAAACTTGCCTATTTTAATGTTATGGTTACTTACATCCAAAGCTCAGTGTTGCCTCAGTACTTCTGACCATCCCATAGTTATTTGATGCCAAACAGTAGTATATGCCAGCATCCTTCTGCTTGTCAGGATTGTTGATAACAAGGTTTCCTCCCACCATACTGTATCGATCACTTGTTAGATCAACGTCCCCATTATTCATTCTCCATCTATGAAGAAAAGATACGTCATGGCTATGGTGGAGGCTTGAACTGTGCTGACAGAAACGTCATTTAAAATAATTTGGGTACAGCAGCATGTTAAGTCAGATGTTTAAGAATATGACAGTGTGTTTTCTTTATGTCCTACACTCCTGAGTATTATGATCATGATGTATAATTTAGTTAATGTACAGAAACACAAATGTGAAACTGCATGACCTATTTTCTTTTTAAATTAGATGTTCTAAATGACAAATATTTTGTTGTGTTACTCCATAATTTGATTTCTTAGTGGATAAACTTGAGTTATGATTGATAACCATCTACCTACTTATACCTTCATACGTGTATTTAAATGTTGTATAAAATATTAAAATCATAACGCTAACATAATGAAATTAAAAATCAATGTTTGATCCCAAATAGCAAAGTAATTTTTTCAAAGAAGCAAATGGAAATCAAGGTTCTGCTTAGTAATTGTCATATTTGTACCACTAGAGGGCGATCACACCATTGACAAATGATAAAACTGTTCCAAGTCACAAATAAATTAGTAAAACTAGATATTCCTCATCCTGAGGTGGAAACCAGTTGTGCCTTTTCTCATTATTTAGGAATTGGTTTTGGCAGAAGGAATACCCCTTATTCGCAATTTTGGTGAGACATGCTGCATATGATCAGACCATTCACCTAGAAAACGGGATCTAGCATTCTTGGTGAGACAAGAAGAACGGATGTGGAAAACAGGTTTTGACTAAGATGACCACTGTGATAATTACATGGCTCTGTATAAGGGGTTAGCCTTTGAGCCTCCACATCCTGAGGAGGACATGGGCATCAAGGTCAAAGGGGTCAAGTAGTTGAGTAGAAGCCATAACCACAACTCCCACTTCTGGAATCATTTCACAGGGAAAAGGTTATGCTATTTAAAAAGCCTAATGATTTTAGAATATTTTTAATCAAAGTTATTGGAACATTTTTAATTATAGTCTTTACAGTATATCAGATAATTTTAAAAGCAAGATAAAAAACAAGGCTTTTGTATTTTATAAACTTCTCCCTTTAACCCAATGAATGAGTCTCCCTGCCCTTTTCCGTAGTTGATGGCAGCACTGTCCCTACCTGAAGCATCCACTATTGTTGCTCACTTATTGCTGTGCAACGCCAATTATTGGGACTCCTCTCCCAATTATGTTGGCTCCCAATTTTGGGTTTTCATCTTAATTTCCTCTAATGGATCTGATTCTGCCTGTGATATCATGTAGTGATTAATAGTTCTTGTCTGTGTAAGCTCATGGGTCTATTTTCAGAAATATATGCTAATGTGGCAGTCCCTTTTGCACTGCTTTAAATAGTTTTTGTGTAGTGCCTGCTGCTCTGGGGATAGGAATAAGCTAATGGGAGCCTCGGGGTGCTAAGTGGGAGGCAAATCTCTCTCCTGTACCTCTCGCCTCTCCGGGTGTTGCCATGAATAACACATTATCTCAGAACATACTACAAATATAAAACTACAGTGTGAGTGACAAGTTCCATGATTACCAAGGTGAATATGGCTCGCTCTGAATACTAAGTAAATTTTTAAAACTTCAAGTGTTCTTTTCTGTCAGACTAGGTGCACCATGAGATAATTGCTTTCCTTTTTTTCTCTTTCTGAAACTGGCTGCCTTCCTAACAGGCTTCAGAATCCCATCTAGCTCTCTGTGTTTACGCATGGATAATGAGGTCAACTCAACCTGGGAATTTCAGTGTGGATGCAACCTATGCAATGTAGTTGGTGAATCATCTGCTGGAAAAGTTCTCCTTAGTGTCTGCCACGTGAGGGAACGGGCAACAAGAAGCACAGTCTTGTCAGGGATGTGTTCCTGGAAATCTACCTGAAAACAACATCTTGGATTTGTTGCCCTGTTCCGGCCTAGAAGAGGATTTTCTAAGGTTCCCTGTGGGAATTTCCAGGACAGACCATCACAGAATAAGTATCACTGAAGTAACTTTTGAGAGTCTATCAATCTATCTATATAGATAAACAGTGGAAAAGTTATATGCTTCTTTGGAGTCATTAAACTCATGTTTTAGTCCTGAATTTTGTGACGTACTAACTCAAGTGAAAGAATTTATTGTGAATGCAGTTTCCTGTGCAGAATGACCTCAGATTAAACCTCTGTTGCCATACTAGTCCATGCCCATGACTACATGCATAGATTTCCCTTATGTACAGCTGGAGGGTAGCAGTAAATCTAGCCCATCAAATATTTTTAGAACCAATGTGTTATTTACAACTTACAATGCACCTCCATGCATGAAATTGAAAACAAGAACAATTACACAGGGATTTGGTGTCTAAATTCATATTTTCTTTTAAGAACAATTTGTAATTCTAGCTAGAGGCAAGAGAAAAAGAGTGCAAGTAGAATTAGGTAGGAGCTATTCTCTTTAATACTAACTTTTTGTACCAATAACATCTTATTCTTCCATCTAGGAAAAAATCTACTACTAAAATCAACCTTGTTAAATGACAACCTTCAGTTAAATCAGGTGACATTAACCAAGCTGGAGTCCTCAGTTTCCCCATCAATCACTTGCTTTGTCTTCATGGAACTGTTTTACAACTGAAATTGAAATCTACTGGCATTTGTTTAGTTTTCAATCCTATTCTTTGAATAACAATAGAAACCGTTCATTTTTCTGAGCCATCTGAATCAGAAAAACTCACCATGGCTTTTTACATAAGTACTTTTGATATCATAAATGTGTAACCCAGAAAAAGAAAAATAAATTTATATAGATTGTTAAATAAATAGAGATATACTAAAATTTCGTTATTTGATTGTAGATTTGATATTATTAAAAGGATAATGTTTTATAGAATTACCTATGCAAGATTTTCAGATGTGGTTAATACTGAAAATATTACCTATCCTTTATAGATATGAATTATTCAAGATCATGCATACAAAAAAATCTATCCTCCAAACTCATATATTTAAATTATGTATGCTTTTCATGTAACCTTTGGGACGCTTAACAACATCACTTCATTGGATAATTTTTAAGTGAATGATGTGAAATGCCAATAGCATTATCTGTTCAGATAACAGTGAGTGACCTAATTACACATATTTAAGAAAGCTACTCTGTATTGGAGTATTAGACAATGCTTTTCAACAGTCTATATGTGTTGTTTGTTTCCTGGCCCATGGTTTTTGGGAAGGGCATGCTTTGAAAAGAGCAAATAAGGTGCATTACTTGTAAACTGGGAAAGGGCTGGCTCGTGCCCTGCAGTTCAGTGAAACTTTCCCTTCTAGTGATTCTTCCGGATAAATGGTATTGATTGGTTGCTCTTCAAAAATTGGTCCAAATCCTTTGTCTTCTTCAGAAACTGTGAAAAATATAACATTATTTTATATTATATTAAAGTCAAAGAAAATGTGGATACATTGGAGAAAAAAATGAGAAACACAGACTCCCCATTCTAATTCAAAACCAAGATACCATGTCTGTAACCCTCACGAAAACACTTAATTCCTTAGTTGAAAACTTCTGCTTACCACTCGCCATTTCCCTAATACTATCATGTGATGCCAACTTTACCTACTTATGGCTCCTCAAACAAGCCACGATTTCTTACCTCTGGCTTTTTGTATGCTTTTCCTTTTCCTAGAATTGCTGTCCCACTTTTCTTTTCTCATTAAAATTCCAGTGGTCCTTTATAACCTAGCCTTCAGGACACCACATCTTACTCTCCTGGCTCTAGCTAATTCTCTCTTGTTTGCCCTTCACTTCCATATTTATAGTACTGCACACCTGCTATGATTCTTAATGCATCTTTCTGTCCCACTAGATTGCCAGTGCTCCAGGACAGATTGCTGTGTCTCTAACCTCACACACAAGTCTTCTAGCTAGCTGCCTAGCTGTCTGGAATGCACAGCTCCTTAAACATGTTTTAACAATTGAATAAATACATAAATTGCTTTCCAGAAGTACTGAGGAAATTGGTCTCTTTCCTGAGTCCATTTATTTTTTGTCCTGAACATGTAAACAGCCTGGTACTCAGCAACATCTAGTCAACTTGTAAGCAATTTAGGTGGTATGAGATATGAGGAACTGGTTTGGGACTCCCTACAAACATGCTCTCACTGGGAAGCAGTTGTCCTAATGGTGCATCCTCTTGGGAAGGAAGAGGAACATCAGACAGCAGGGTGGAGAAGAGGGAATCAGCCATGGGTCACCAGTGTGGGGACATTTATGTAGCACAACTAAGAGCCAGATGCTCCCAATGAATTAATAATGATCTGTGTACTAGAAAAGAGGATTATTCTTACATGAAGTCCCCGAATTCTCTACTTGAGGCAAGGCATGATTTATATCTCTAATTTATATTTTATCAGAGTTTATGGCAAATGGTATATTGGCTTTTTAACTTATCCAAATCAACCTTGAAAAGGAGCACTCAGTTCAAACTTGTCTTAGCAGATGCATTATGTCATTTAAGTCTCGCCTTACTACCATTTTCCAGTGTGCCTTTGGAAAAATTATTTAATCTTTGTTAGTATCAGCAAAACCTTTTATAAAATAAGGGATAAGAGAAAAGGTTAATGTCAGAATTATTTTAAGATCATGCATGAAAGGTAATGTATCTGTGTTGTAATTAGCAATCACTAAATGCTGATTTTCCAAATATTCTCAAGAATTTACCAATCTTGTCAAATTTTAATTTATATTTTTATGTGTTCCAACTCACAGACTAATGATAGAAATTTCAAACCCAGAAGCCATGCTGTTTTCACTCTCATACCTCGCATGCTATTAGCCTTGTTCTGTTTTGAGCACTTAGTACAGCTTTGTTGTATATGTAGGTGTATAAGAGAGTTCTGAAGCTACTTTCCTCTACTATGAACTGTTTTCTAAACTAATCCAAACTATTTCAAAGAAGCCGCCTCATTTCTTGGTTGCAGTGCAAAAATTGCCTTTCAAGACTGTATCAACCTCAGCTCATTTCACAAGCTCAGCCGTGTTATTTCACGTAGGAGGAAAATCAGTCATTTAATTAAGATTTAATTCCAGTAATCTACCTTTCAAGCTGCCATTTTTAACAAACTATCTGTGTCTTATGGCTTCTATACTCACAAGGGAAAGACAGGGATGTATATACTCAGGACTCCCTTACTAGGTCTACCTCAGCCATAAGTGAGACCATGAATATATCATTCAGATATGCACAGAGGCTCTCTGCTAATGACTTGTGAAGTCCTGATTTGAGCTGTCTCCTGTTCTACATTCTTTTTTGCAGTTTTAACCAAAAATACAGGTAATGCTTTCTGCTTCACTTCTAAGGCTTTTACTGATGCTGCCCATTGTTTGCTAGCCAGTCAGGATATAATAGCACACAAGGGAAAAATGGGAAATGAAATCAAATCCTTGAGGAAGACAGATTTTCATTTTGGATAAAAGGCCTGGGTTTTTCCATCTGTCAAAGAAATGACCTTGCACTTAGCAATGACAAAAGTCATATGCTATTTCTCTTCCCACTTGGACAACTTCATAAATGCCTCCTTGAGTCTGTTTCCATTGCACTTTTCTGACTGGAGCAAGTTAGTAATATATGCCAACTTGGAGATCCAGTTATTCTTCCAAAGCACAAAAAAGTGCTCAAAAAGACAAGCAGAAAAGTGCCTGTTTATCAGTACACTTAGAATCTTACCCTGAGTGCAAGATGATTTCTATTCCCATCCTATTACTTGAAAAATAGTGATTTCAGTGTGAATTATTTCAAACTATTATATATAACCCCTAATATATATTTAGAAAACAAAAATGTATATTGTTCTTTGGAGTGTAACACTCATAGTTAAATTCTAAATGCATCATTTTGAAGTTATAACCATGTGGATAATGTCATTATTACTACCAATAACCCAGATCATGACATTTAAGGGAAAATGGAGAGATGGTGCAGTTATGTTTATAAGGTAATAAATAGAAGATCACTGATCTGTAGTGACTAGATTTCTGTGTCTTTCAAAAATACTAGTTTAAGGATTTAAGATGGTCACCATGGAAGCTTCAGTTTGATAGACTAGAATTCAGGCTTGATTCTGGTTTTATATATAGCAATGAGATTTCAGATACAATACCAAAACTATGATCCATGAAAGATAAAAAATGGGTAAGTTGCTTTAATTGAAAACCAAAGCTCCAGCTCTGTGAAAGATGCTTTTAAAAGCATCTCAGGTCTTCAGGTTTAGGAACTCTCCTTTGGATCTTTCCAAGTTACATTCCATAAACAACAAATTGGAAAAATGTTTAAATAACTAAATGTGTCTCACTTAATAATGGGGAATATAGTGGTGAATGTACATGTCTTAATATAATTTTAACATATTTCATTAGGCACAGGACTACAGTAGTTAAAGCCCCATCATGTGATTGTATTTCCACTATAAAATACAAAATACTTCTGATCTGCTATTCAACCCTCACACTCTGAGGAAGAGTTGATAATATTTTTCTGTACCCATGCATGGTCTGCCTGGTCCCAAGAGGCAAAGTGGAATGTAAAGTATTTCTTATAATACTATTTTATAACTAGAGTTACTGTCAGAGAGACAGCAAGAGTAAGAAGTACCATATGTACAGACCTCCTTTGCACTGAGACAATTCTGATTTGTATTCAAAATGTGAACATAAGTCTCCAGGAAGCCAGACATCTCTGCTTCTTAAGGTGCAATCTAACACATGCACATTTCTGATGCTGAAGTTCCCTTTGCTTATTCTTTGTACCCTAAGGACAAGACTTCAATGCCTGCCATAACTAAAGCATCTACCAGGCTCTATCCATTTTTATCTGATTTTGTTCAAGTTTCTCTAGGGCAATATCCCTGAGAGGAGGTGGGTGGAGAATTTGGCTAGCAACCTCAAACAGATCAAAAAATATCTGAGAGGGCCACTGATCATCAGCTGCCCTTCCTACTTGTCTCCTTGACCTGGGACAGAAGCAGATTGTTAGCTGCCCTTCCTTCTCACCCTTTTGGACCTGGGACTGCTGTGGATTGTTGGTTTCCCCTCCTTTTTGCCCCCTTGGATCTAGGACCATTGCAGATCATTGGTTGCCCTTCATCCTGTCTCTCCAGAACTGGCATAGCTGCAGATTCTACCCTTCCCTTCACCCAAAAGACCGCAGCAGCCCACTGACAATCAGCAACCATTTCTACCACCTGCAGAACCTTGCTGGGCTGATAGGAAACTCAATAATCCCTTGTCCCCACAGAGGACATCAGTGGACTTGTGACAGTGTGGTGAATTTCCCTCTCAATTAGAGGACCTCAGTGGGTAAACAGGAGCAGTAGCAAAGTCCTCCCCAAGTTGTAGGATCTTGGCAAGCATGGCAAGAGTGTGGGTGAGTTCTTCCTCTACACAAAGAACAGCAGGTTGATTGAGGAGAGTGCCAATAAGGCCTCCCCCAACCAAAAGGAAAGACACCCAGTGACACAGGAGGGTCCTAGCTGAGGCAAACATTATAGCCAGGTAGATCTGAAGGCTTGAAACAGCCTGAAGCTGTAGAAACAGCAGGAACTGAGGGTTGATTTACACCAATACTCCTAGGCTAGTCAGCATAGGAAGAATATAGGATTCACCCAACAGGCTCTGCAGGGAGAATTCAGGTGACTGTCCCTCCCCTTCATTGTGTTACCCAATAACTGGGCAAATATCAGCCACACAATAGGACCCTAAAACTTGCACTGCTGAAAGCTGAGAGTAGTGGGATTGAAAGGCCAAATACTAGTCCAAGAGGTGAAAATGACAAAATAAAATGCAATTTCAAACATCCAGTCCATTAGGAACAAGCACAGAAGACATCAAAATAGAGGACATTAAAATTCATACACCTGAAATTTCTGAAAATATAGCTAATGAAATAAAGAAAAAAATCTACGAAGCTATAGAGGAAATCAGATTAGAAATTATCTCTCATGTAAAGAAAGAAATGACAACTTTAATAAAAGAATTGCTCAGCAAAGCTAGAGAAGATATAGATTAAAATATATGGGACCGTATAAAAATGATTGACACATTGAATGAACAATATAGAAAAGAAATAGAATGCATTAAACAAGTTAAAAGAGATACTCAAGAAATAAAAATTCTATTGAAAGTTGCCAAACTATTTGAATGAAGATGAGGATAGAATTTCAGACCTTGAGGACAGAATTCTACCTAACAATCATTAAAGGAAAGAACTTTTAAAAATAACACAGCAGCATAAAACAGCAACCCAACAGCTTCAAGATGATGCAAAGAGAAACAATCTAAGACTAATATGCATCAATGAAGATGCAAGAGTCAGTATAAATCACATAGGAAAACTATTCACAGAAGTAA